CCCTTCGACCACAAATCTTTCTTTATGGTTTTACCTTGAAAAGGAGACTGTGGGCAGAAGCCAATAGGAGCTGCATGTGAGGTATGTGTCAGAGCCATGGGAGGCCACTAACTTACCTGTTACTGTCTTAATCTTTGCAACAACTTCATGAGGAATGGGATTGAGCTCCCATTTGATGGATGAAGTGATAAAGACTAAGAGAGAATTATTCACAATCCTACAACTTGGAAGTGATCATGTACTCTATATTCACTCTGCCTGTGCTGGCCTGCTAGGTCAGAGAAATGCTTTACGCAGCTCTGTCCATCCCTCCCCACCCTTTTCCTCCAGGGCTGCTTCCCATCCCTGCTGGGGTGAGTCAAGGCCTTAGGGACTGTGATCAGAGAAGGCCCTGAGAAGATGTCAACTCCAAGGAGCAAGCAAGCAGGGGCCCAACCACCTCCAGCAGGAGGGTGGAGAGAACAAAGTAAACACAGTTCATGAGGGACTCCTTAGACCCGGTGCACAGCATCCCTGTTCTGTTTGTTTCCTCCAAGCAAGCCGCCACAACCACCCTCCAACAAGATAGCTGACTTGTTCACTCATTCTGCGTCAGTGGTAAGCTTAGCCTTGACTTCTTACCTCAGCAGCAATAAACCTCTTAGAAATAGAAGACAACTTCAGAACCACATGCGCAAGGAAAACTAAAGTCGCCGAAGGTAGCCACTCCAAATTCCTAAAGCTGGGCCACGTTAATTCATTTAAAACAGCCACCGAATGTGGAGAAAGTTGGATAGGGGTGCCTGCTTACAACTTAGACGGAAGCTTAAACAAGTGCACAAGGTGCAGTGATGCGGGGTGGATCGCAAGGACCATCAACAAGAAGAGCACAAATGTCAGGGTTCTGGGTTCCTGTGGAGCTCAGAGAACATGCCCTGCAGAAAGGGATCCCTAGAGCTGTGGTGGGACCCCTACAGGTGGAAGAGGAGAGGGGACCGCTCATCACCCCCAGATTGGGCAGGAGAGGAATCAACCTTGGTTTTAGATACTCAGAGAAGTGAGATAATACATATCCTAATATGATTAGAATACCTTGAATTGCCCATCGTAAACACAGAGAACACTTATTGTGTCCATTCTGACCCATAGAGACCCTGTAGGACAGTGCAGAATCATTCCTCAGGGTTTACGGCCCATGGATCTTTATAGGAGCTGTTGCTGTTAGGTGCCGTCGAGTCGGTTCTGATTCACAGAGACTCTATGTGCAACAGAACGAAACACTGCGCAATCCTTGGCCAGCATCATGATGATTCTTATGTCTGAGCCCATTGTTGTGGCCACCCTGTCCAGCCATCTCAAGGGCCTTCCTCTTTTTCTCTGCCCCTCCACGTTAGCAAGCATGATGTCCTTCTCCAGGGACTGGTCTCTCCTGGTAACTTGTCCAAAGCACTTGAGACAAAGTCGAGCTGTCCTTGGCTCCAAGGAACATTCCGGCTGTACTTCTTCCAAGGCACATCTGTTTGTTCTTTTGGCAGTCCACTGACTTTTCAGTATTGCTCACCAGCACCATAATTCAAATGCAGCGGTTTTCCTTCAGTCTTGCCTACTCGATGCACATGAGGGGATTGAAAACACCACAGCTTGGGTCAGGCGCACCTTAGTCCTCAAAGTAACCTCCTTGCTCTTCAATACTTTGAAGAGGTCTGCTCAGAAGCTTTACCCAATACAATGGGTCATTTGATCTCTTGGCAGCTGCTTCCATGAGCATTGATTGTGGATCCAAGTAAGACGAAATCCTTGGCAAATTTAACCTTTTCTTCATTTCTCATGACGTTACCTATTGGTCCAGTTGTGAGCATTTGGGTTTTCTGGACATCGAGTTGTAATCCATACTGAAGGCAGCAATCCTTGATCTTCATCAACAAGTATTTCAAGTCCTCCTCACTGTCAACAATCAAAGTCGTGTCATCTGCATACCACAGGTTGCTAATAGCCTTCCCCCAATTCTGCTACTGCGTTCTTCTTCATATACATGCACGCAGACACACCCACACCCACCACATACATGTATATAAGAATAGACAGCCTCATTTTTCTTTCTTGGAGCAGCCGATGGGTTTGAACTTCTGACTTTATTGGAAACAGCCCACTGTGCTGCCAGGCTTAATAATAACATATGAGGGGGCTTCAAAAATAGTCATGGAAAAATTCTGTTATGCTTCAATTACATTTTTCCTGAACATTTTGGAGCCCCATCCTATGCATGAATCACAGAATCCCTGGTTTGCAATATTTTTCTTACTAACATTGTGCAGAAACATCTCTTAAAAGATGAGACGTGAAGCAAAGGGCTTCAGGAGTTAAGTGTGTTTCAGAAGGATGATGTCTTGTGACTCCCATTGAAAATTTTACACGGTTAACTGCGCACAACAGGCTCATGGGTGTACTGTAGTCAAGAAAACCATGTATTATGCTTAACCTAGACCAAAAACACTCAGTTGGCCATCAAATCCAGCCCGACACATGGCAACCCCAATGTGCATCAGGGTGAGCCTTTCTTCCAGGGCACCTGGGGTTGAACTCAAACCTCTAACCTTCAGTTCAAGTCAAGGGAATCAACTATTTCCACCACCCAGGAACTCATGTGCTCAACCCAGTGGTTCCCACACTCACAAGAACATGTGTGTGTCTGCACAGTTCACCTGAATATCTCCTTGAACTAGGGGTTCTGTGAGCGAATTCTCCGAAACACCTTTCAGTAAGAACCTATCTTGGGAGAAGCTGGGGACTCAGAAACATGCTTGCTACTGAGTTTAAAGTTTGCTTCTTATTTCTGGAAATATGAAACACCTTATAAGATTCAGTAAACATAGCGGCGATAAGATTTCAATGTCAAGTCAAACTAGGCACATTTTTATGTGTCTATTTGTGTTTGGTCTCTCTCGGGGTCTATGGGTACAACTGTTAGTTCAGTAGCTACAGTGAAAGAAAACATTCATTAATCACAAACACCTGCAGTGACATCAAATGAACAAAACTGAAGCCGAGTCACAGGAATCAGAAACTCCAAATCGATGTTGAGTGTTTCTTTGCAAAATGCAGTCTAAGAAACCACTTCTACAGGGTTAGTGAGCTTCCAGCCTACAGACATGCTTGTTCTGACTTGAGATTTAACCTTTATTATAATACTTGTTATAGGTGAACTTCAGGAAACGGACCTGATAATAGATAGGGAAGAGGGCTATAAACCAAGAGGTGGCTCCCTCCCCAAATTATCGTAATTCTCCAAAACCAATGAATATTTCATTATTTTACAAGAAAATATTCATTAATAATATAAGTTGGATAGTGAAACTAAATAAAAAAAAAACTTGTTACTACAGTATGAAAACCCATGAATTTATCAGGAGTAAGTCTAATAGGCTATGTTCAACATTTCCATGTAGAGAAGTGTAGGATTGATGCGTTACATGAAAAGCCTAAATAAGTGCGGAGAGAAACGGTCTTGCTGGATCAGACAACCCGGAGTTGTCAGACATCAGGTTTCTCCAAAGTGACCTAGTGATTCAAAGTTGCTCCGATCTTAAAAATCTTAGATGGTTTTTATAGAAATTGACAAGCTGGTTTTAAATGTTATACAAATGGCAGAGGACCTAGGTTAGTCAATATCCTTCTGAAA